CTTGTCTGTTCCCCTTCCCCCAATTCCCCAGCACTGTTTCCATCCCCCCAATTCCCCAATAAAAATCTTTAAAAAAAAAAAAAAAAAAAAGAACAACAACTTGGCTGTTCCCCGCCCCTAATTCCCCAATAAAATCTTTAAAAAAAAGGTTAGCAAGGGCTGGCAGAGTGGCTCGTTGGTTAACAGTTGGCTTGGGAGTGCAAACTCTGAGTAGCGTGGCAGCAGTTCGGATCCCACATGGACCAGTGATGCTGCGCCCTCTACAGCTAAGATGGTGAACAACAGCTCAACCTGGAGCTGGGCTGCTGTTGAGTTGCCAGCGACAGCTAGGCTGCAGTGGGGCTGCAGTGGGCTGCCGTAAAGCTACCATGAGTGGCCGGCAGTCAGCATGAGTGGCTGGCAGCTGGCATGAGCTGCTATGAGCCGCCATGAGCGGCCGTCCAATGGCCAGCGACTGATCTGCCTCAGCCAGGAAGAGCGCAATGATAATACCAACATGGGCCAGTGAAGAGACGTCCTCCACAACTAGACTGAAGAACCAAAGGACAGCAACTTGTCTGTTCCCCTTCCCCGATTCACCGACGCTGTTCCCTCCCCCGATTCCCCAAAAAAATCTTAAAAAAAAATAAAAGGTTAGCAACACATTGTTGCAACAGGTTTGAGAACTGAACTGCCTGATTATATGTTATTTCTTAAATTCCTTGGAGTGGAATGGCTGGGTCCTATGTGGGGAACGGTGTATGTTTAAATTTCTAAGAAAATGCCAAGTGCTTTCCAAAGTGGGTGCCCCATTCTGCGCTTCCACCAGCAGCACATGAATATTCTAGTTGCTCCCCATTCTTGCCGACACTTGGTATATAAGCATTATTATTTTTACTTTATACCAATTCTTTATCCTTGATTTTATATTTTATCCTAAGCATGTTATATTTTTATAATAAATTCATTTTCAAAATATCTCACATGTAGGAATAGTAATATAGGAGCTTTTGCTTCAAAGGAGGCTCTGGACTTACTTGACGCCCCTAACGTTCGGTTTCTTTAAATGAAATGGGGAAAGGATGAAAGTACCTGCCTCATTAGGATTAAGTGAGATTATCCCACACAAAGCATGGAGCTCAGTGTCTGCCACAAAGCAAACACTCAAAAATGTCAGCTATTCTAATCAACATCATTGTCGTCATCATTATGATGATAATTGTTATTACTCTTCCTACTCCCCACTCCCTTTCTCACTATGACTACTGATCTATTATACCTGCTTATTTCTATTTATGATGAAGGCCACAGGATATGTAATTGATGGAAGCACCATTCAGGCAGAACGGTCTCTATATTAGATTTTGGAGGGCTCCCTTTCTAGAGGAGTTCTGTATATTTGAGACTAACAGATTAAGAACGTGAACTTTTCCACAATTTCCCCAAATGTTGTCATATCATTGCATTAAGCCCCTATAATGAGAAATGTCTGAGCAAAGCATGCAAGGGGGAGGTTTCTAGGCTGCCACCGCCAAGGCAGTCGTGCCAGCTAAGCAGGTCCAACCGCTTCCTGGCAGAGGGCTGTGGGGAGAGAGGACAGGAAGGGAAGCATCCACAGAGCCCACCTGACTCGCTGGTGAAGGAGATAGAGAACATTGCGGAGGCTCCCCAGGGTTCTGTTTTCTGGGTTGAGTCTGTGACGTCCAAACTAGAGAAGAAGAAAAATCAATAACTAATAACTGTTCAGTACTGCTTTCTTTATCTTAATTTCAACCCACAGAGAAAATTATGTTGGAGTAATGTCTTACAGCAAACAGTAATAAAATTATCCAATTAGTATGTAGATTTCATTAACCCCCTATTTTTCAGTGAAATAAGTGAAATAGTTCAACGAAATAAGTGAAAATAAGAAATATTTTTCAATGAAGTAAGCACGAGAATTTTCACCTCACAGAGAACTATGAGGGAAATTCTACTTCAAAGGAAAAAACGTGCCCATGATGAAGATTTCGATATTGACGGTATGGCTTAACTTCCAGCCCTCTAGGTCTGATAAATGCTAATCAATTAGAACCACTGCAGTCTAAGCTCTTCACATTACATGTTTACATTATAAAAGTATCAAAATACACTTATCTGGATGCTACTGAATTCTTTTAAGTGCCAATTTAAAAACAATATATTAGGCGCTGGCCAAGTGGCGCGTTGGTTAAGAGCTGGCTTGGGACACCAGCTCTGAGCAGCAGGGCCCGGTTTAGATCCCACATGAGGGCCAGTGACACTGCCCTCTACAGCTAAGATGGTGAAGAACAGCTCGACCTGGAGCTGGGCTGCCGTGAGTCACTGGCAACAGTGTAGGCTGCAGTGGGACTGGCTGGCAGCCGGCATGAGCTGCCAAGAGCCGCTGTGAACGGCTGTCCAGTGCTCGGCGAGCGACTGCCTCACCCAGGAAGAGCGCAATGATAATACCAACATGGGCCAGTGAAGTGATGTCCTCCACAACTAGACTGAAGAACAGAAGGACAGCAACTTGTCTGTTCCCCTTCCCCCAATTCCCTAACCCTGTTCCCTTCCCCCAATTCCCCAATAAAAATCTTAAAAAAAATAACCAAAACAAACAAAAAAAACATAATACCTTAGTCAAAATACTTTTAATAGAAGGCAATAATATTTTGAACTGAAATACCCTCACTACCACACCCATATTATCTATCAATAATAAGTCCTTTGATTTTTTTTTTTCTCCAAAGCGGACCATTAATCTGTCCATAAACTCTCTTCCACCAAACAGATCAGGAATCTGCATCTTATCCCCCCTCTCCACTGCTACCACCTTAGTCTAGGTCACCATCACCCCCACCTGAATTCCTGAAATGGCCTCCTATCTGACAGTCCACCCACTTTTCTCTTAGCCTCTGACCAATTTGCCACACAACAGCCACAGCAATCTTCCCGAATTGGAAATCAGATCATGTGACTCCCTAGTGTACAGCCCTTCAAAGGCTTCCCTCTGGGTTGAGAATAAAATCCAGAATCCTCATCGATATCCTCCCCTGATACTTTTCCAATCTCATCCTGAGTTACCCTCCAGCCATCGTGGCCTTTCAGTTTCTAGGATTCCTTAAGCTCTTAGCACGTCATGTCCCCTCTACCTAGAGTGTTCTTTGCACAGAGGGGCCCTTATCTTCCTCTAAGTCTTGATTTACACATGTCCTCAGAGGAGCCCATCCCCAATCATCCTACCTAAGAAGATTCCCCCTCCACCGAACCACAGAATGCTGCTCACTTCCTTTCCTCAATTTGTTATTACCTATTTATTGTGCTTATTTACCTGTTCATTCTCTCCTCAATTACCTCCACGAGGGCAGGAATTATGACTGTTTTATTTACCATGTGTACACAGCTCCTCACACAGAGTGGGTGCTTAATAAATATTTCCATGAATAAATAAATGAATGAATGGAGAAACCAGAAATCTGAAAGTGTTCCCAAAAAGCTAAATCATTAATTCCTCCTGAATAAACAAAAGGAATCAACCTCTGATTTTGTGAAGAATGACCTGCCCTAGGACACCCAGGAAATGGACCTGAATGAGTGAAGGAAGCAAACTTGTGCATTCCTGAGGCACTTAAAGTGCCTTCCTCCACACTGGGCTTTTCTGAGACACCATGTTACCTAAGAAATTGCAAATGTAAACTTCATTCCAAACCAAAGAGGAAAGAAAACAGAGACAGCAAGCCTGGCTGTCAGAGTATCAAACAAATGGAAAAACTGGTGAGGCATGCTCTGGCCTACTGACTGACTGCTTTATTGCTTTATTAGCTTTATTGAAAGCTTTATTGCTTTATTAGCATTGCTTCAAACAGAGAAAGCAGGATTTAAATTCAGGGAGAAGCCCAGCACTCACCCTCAAAATCGACTGGACTGTCTGCAGGGGATAGGTGACTGTGGTTGCAATCGCTTTGGCTACTGCACCGATGATGAACACATCCAAAGAAGAAAGCTGGGAAGCAGGGAAAGAAGGAATCACATCAATCCAAAAAACAAGACGGTGCAGAGATCATGATCTGCTGCTTTCAAAATCAGGGATTACCTTCATTCGTTTCTTTAAAATCTGCCGTTTTAAACCTTCATAGAACATGAACTGGATGGCAGGATTGAAGACCAAGAGCAAGGAGGGAAATGTGCCATTCCATAGAGACAAGATTCCTTCATCTCGAACGATCTGGTGAAAAGCATCTGAGCAAGAAATCAAGGACATTAGATGACAATCCCCTAACTAGAGAAGACAAGGGGAATTCTGTTCAAGTATACCCAGAATAGAAACCGCACTGGTTCTGTCAACAGCATTTCCTTCTTGCAATGATATGTTAGGGGCAAGTTCATCAGTGAACTCCTTTTTGATAATTGTCAGACACTGACAATCACCAAGTTATTGAGGGACAACTTCAATCATAGGCAGCTCTGCCTGACAATCTGGGGTCAGAATGTCAAGCTTTCCTAATTACCGCCACCACGGGAAACTCTGTATTACAGAGAATTGTGAACTGACAGCCCACATGCTTCACAACAAAGTCCAGTTCAACCAAAGATAAGATGATAGTTCCCTAGGGTCCATTTTATAGGACTGACTTATAACAAAACCACTATTCTCATTACAAACACAGGAAAGGAGGACCTGGCAGTGTGGTGCTATTAAAAAGCAAACACTCAAAGATACCAGACACTAATCTGGTACCTTTAGCCAAAGACAATGCTAGAAAAAAAGTAGAGTAGATTATTCTTCAGGAATATTCACCTCCCACCCCACTCCATGGGAGCAGTCATTTCTCTACCCTTTGTCTTTGGGGCTTGGCCATGTGATGTGCTTTGGCAAAGCTGATGTTAGCAGATAAGATGCAAACAGGGGCTTGAACTATGCTTGTACAATCGGGGGTGTCCTCTTAGGGAGGGGATATCACAGAGAGAAGAATATGCTCAGGCTGGTCCCAGGAAGATGAGTAGAGGCTCCCAGTCAAATCCCCATCAATCCACAGACCCACGAGCTAAACAAATGCTTACTTACTGTTGGATGCTGACATGGGAGGTTGTCCTAATATACAACATTACTGTGACAATAAGTTCTAGTACAAAGAGAAAATAAAACCCTTACACAGAAACTCACCCAAGAGACACTTACCAATAATACCTTTGTAGTTGGTCGGTACAATGTCTTCATTTCTAAATTTTGCTCCTTGCAGCTTCAGTCTGGTGTTTACCACCCAGAGTGGAGTTGTTAGCAACACATTCACCACTCCTTTAGAGAGAAAGAGGGAGACACAAAGGAAGGCAAAATGCAATCTTTCAAGCTTTCTGTCTTATGTTACAGCTACATATCCATGCCCCATTTATATTTCTGCCACTGACCTGACACGAGACCTAAGGTGAGTGTCTCTTTGTGCCAGGGTACAACACAAGCCACTCCTGTTAGCAGCAATTCAGAAGACTTGCTGATAGCCCACTGGCTGGCAGCAGTACCTCTCCATGTGAAGAGTAACGAGCTTCCTCATTTGTATAACAGGGGGCAATCTACCTGTCAATTTATATAAGCATCCAAAGTAGCACTTTTGATATAGTTTTACCTACAATTTTTCAATAACGGCTTTAATAGAGGGGAAGTGGCTATTGATCACATGCTAAGTTCATGACAACATCAAATAAAACACAATTTACAACTTTCCCCTAAGTAGCTCACATGGTTTTAGGTGAGTATGGATCTGGTACAGCGGGTGACAGGTGAGAAAGTGGTGACACTGGAAAGTGCTCCAATGGAGACTTGAGGATCATAGGGGAGTTCCTCATCAGTCAGGGAATTAGGGGAGGCAGGCAGCAAGCAGTGGTTAGGAACCGTCACAAAACACCTGAAATAGCCTCGCAAGCATCACGATCCTTACAAGCTTAGGGATGGGGATCCTGGCCCCCCAAGGTTGCCTCAGTGGAACAATACAATGAGCCAGCTGCTTCTGTTTTGAAAACACATGATCCCAATTTAACACCATCTTGAGATATTAAAATAGTCCTCATCAGTCCTGCAATGATTAAAAAAAAAAAACCCAGATAGAGTTGTAACAAAATGACACACAGCATGTACTTTATAAATATATGTTAAATAAATATCAAATAAATGAACCAATGAACAAACTCAGCAAACAGCCAACCATACATGGAACTATCTGGCTCCAGCCATGCTGTGAAGAACCAAGAGGTGCAATCCTAGGGAAGAGAAATCTTTTACTAAAAGTAATTTAAACACAACAGGAGAAAGAATGTTTTGATTTAAGGACTCTTAAAACATGCTGTATAGAAAATACAGTCTAACCGAAAATAAGCTTGTGCAACAGCCCAGAGATTCAGTCTATTTTTTCACTTGTCGCACACAGATGAGAAAATAAAATATTTTGCTACCTCCCTCTTAGGAGCATCATGGGAACACTTTTTCTCAAACTAAAAAGACATTATCAACTAATTTTATGAGCTGTACCTGCCATACTTTTATAGAGTCACATAATACCAAAGAGCCATCTTTAGTTATGACTCTATTCATACACTGTCACTTGAGGCATTGATCATAATCTGGGTTAAGACTTACTAAGAGGTTTCTGCTGGTCTCATGTTTATAAAGCACCAGTGCCCAGGAGGCCAAAATAGAAGAATATCAATACATGCTCATGTGCCCAGATTTCATAATGTATTCCTATTCAATGCAAGGTACATATCACTTAACAGAAAAATCAATAGCCAGAAAAACCAGACTAGAAAGTACTACATTTGAGCAGTCTACATTTTTTTTTTTTATGATTAATTAAACAGGCGAGCACAGAGCCAGAGACCACAAGCGTCCACGGTACACTGTACAGAGGCCCAGCGAGCACACCTTTCTAAACAAATGAAACAGGTTCCCCAGTAAATACATCCTTTAGAAATCAAAATTTACATTCTATTCAAGAGGTAAGCATGCACAGAACACATTGGAGGCAAAGCAGCCAAGAGTAGAATTTAACTGTTATTTAAAATTCTGCTTTTATATCCCCTTTATTAACACAACTTGAAAGACTGAGAGGATTCTAAGGACAATCTCAAGTACAGAAATGCACTACATCATTCAAAGAAGGGAATATAAAGTCCTTGTAAGAACATTCTGTATTTCAAAGCTTTTTATCGGAGAAGTTCAAGTACTTTGTTCATCCTCTAAGCCAAAATAAGAGCTATTTTTTAAACAGTATAATTTTATGAGCTCTTGGAAAAGACACTCAAAATACTTGAGGATCCAAAACTTTGCTAAAAACTTACAACCTATATACTCAAGCAAAGGACAACAATCAATGGAGGAAAAACAAGCTACAAACAGTCATGATGAGCGATTCCAACCGGTACTGGCGCCCCACGGATAAGGCTCCCAGATAAACATGGCTGTCTGCTTACTTGTGAGCCTGTGTAGAAAATTCTTCTTCCAGTTCCCAGGTATGGCTGTTACTTCAGCTCTAAGAAGGGGCTACTACTACTTTACCTACTTAATGACAGGAGACTTTTCCTTCCAATTCAAATGACTATTTTCTTTCTTTGTAAAAAATCATTTACAGGAAAATAGAACCAAAATTAAGAGATAAAGAACAGTAACTGAACACACATTATTCAGTGATTCAAGGAATAACTAGAACACAGCTATTGACTCTTGAAATCTTGAAAGGAAGTAGTTTTATCAGCAGTGAGTCTCCTTTGGTAAAGACAGAAAACAAAAATGAAGTATGCTAATCGGGTGTGCATTTCTGGGAAATATACACAATGACGACTGATAAAAGAAAATGGCAGATCAAGGTCATATATCCAACCATTTGGCTCCCTATGAAAGAATGCAACTAGATACACGACAGAAACAAACCTGCCTTCCTAGAGTCAAGGCTGGAGGGCAGGAAATGAGTATGAACCATCAGGACAATGACAATACCCTTAGCTTTCAAAAAGAGCTATTGGTGAAAATCCCAATTTCATAAAAATGGCAAGTATCTTCTTCATTTAAGTTATGTGTAAGGTTTTGTTCCCAAATTCTTCCCCAGGGTATCAAGCTATATGGGCTTTCTTCCATGAAAACAAAACAAATAAATAAAATAAATTTCTAAGTTTCAAGCAGAATTTGAATAACAATAATACTGTTCCTAGTTCTCCTTGGAGATTAAGAAAACTCATTTCAACAGTGATCATAATACAAAGACAGGGCTCAGAGCAGGAAGAAAAAGCTATTCTAATTACTGTAAGAATGCATAGGTATTAAGATATAAAAACATGTTATGAGAAGTTTAAAAATCACAAAAGTAATTTCTAAGAAAAAGAGAGGACCTATAACCAGAGAATCTTAGAATTATGAAGGACTGTAAAATTCATTTCACCAAGGGTCTCAACTGTGACACTACTGACATTTTGAGCTGGATAATTCTTTATTTGGGTGTGTGTGAGTGTGTGGGGGTCCTATTGTATGTGTGGGGCAGTCCTCTACCCACTAGATGCCAACAGCACCCCGCAGGGCTCACAGCCAAAACTGTCCCCAGACACTTGCCATGTGTTTGTTCCCTGTGGGTCAAATCTGCCTCATGTGAGAACCACTGTTCTAACCCAATCACCAAGTGATTATTCACTTTATTTTTCAAAGTTTCAAAAGACAGAAATTCACTCCCACCCTAATGGCCTATTTTTTCCAAGAGCTGTAAGAAATTTTATTTTTATTGATACTACATTTACCTTCTTGAAGCAACTGGAAACATATATGAAATTAGGTGTTTTTTTACCTGAGGTAGAGTTAGCAATTCTGATATGATTTTCCGTGTATTTTAGGATAAGTAAATGTATCATGATCCTGGCCCAATTCCTTTGGATAATATAGAACAAGTATAGTCCCTCTTCTACGAGTCATTCATCCATGGCCTGCTCATCAAGCACATATTGTGTGTCTAGGATGTGATCAGCCCTGCTCGACAATACAGCAGTATTGTCACATATTGTCAATAAAAATGAAAATCCCTGCCTCATGAAGCTTATATTCTAATGGTGTAAGACAAGATGTAGTATGTCAGAGAAGGGTTAAAGAACGAATTTAAGCAGAGGAGGAGGGTAGTGTATTAGGGATGAAAATGTCTATTTTAGACACTGTGGCCATTTAGAGAAAGATCTTAAAGGAGGTAAAGCCATGAGCCATGCACTGAGTGAGCAGGCAGAGGAAACAGCAGGTACACAGGCCCTGAGGAGAATGTGCCAGGAAGGAGAAGGGGCCAGTGTGGATGCAGTGGTGTAAGAGAAGAGCAGGAAGGCCAGGTCATATGGGTCTTTGTGGGACAAGAGTAAGGAAGCCCTGAGACAGAGGTATCTACTGTATCGGGGCACAGAGGATGGGCGCCTAGTCCAGAATGAAACCTGGGCTGGTAGTATGGAAAACCGAGAAGGCTTCCTCAAAAGGAGGTAGCCTGAGCTGAGAATGAAAGGATAAATAGGAGTTAATAAGATGAAAAAAGCAGTAAGACTGTATCAGACAATGATATACACAGTAAGAATGTTTCAGACAGACAACAGTAGCTATAGAGGAATGGAGTTACTAAATGGCTTGCTATATTCAAGGAATCGCAGTTTGGTCTGGGAAGATGGAAACGGTAAAGATAGAAGTAGAAAGGTTAAGCAGCATCCTGGCACATTTTGTATTTTAGGATCTTATCCTGTATGGGGGGGGGGCAGGAGGGAGGCTTGTACACTGAGAGGGCCATGCCATGACTTTATCCAGAATGCAAGGGACAGATACTGGGGGGTTTCAAGCTGGGGATAGTGTAACCAGGTTTGGGTTTCAGAACAGCAAGTCTCAACTATCTCTCTAACAAGACATGTAACAGGATGCTCACAATTGACACAGACACATCAGCTGTCCCTACATGTCAACCGTAATTCCACCGTTTTCTCATACACTCAAGAAAACATTTCAGAATAGAAGTAAATTAGAATGATATTGTTACATTGGGATCTCTTTTAACCAGCTTCATACAAGGTGTGATCAAAAGATACGGTAAGTGTTTCAATAAAAAAAAAATTTATTACAGTAAAAGACACATTGCCATTATTCCCCCTCAAAATACTCTCCCTCACTTCAAACACACTTATCCCATCATTCTTGCCACTTTCTGCAGTGGTTCTGGAAGTCCTCTTTTGTGACTGTCTTTACTTCACCCTCTATCATGACAGTGCTCCGTGTCACTCATCTCTTCTGATAAATGGCAATTTCTG